CTCTCTCTCTCTCTCTCTCTCTCTCTCTCTCTCTCTCTCTCTCTCTCTCTCTCTCTCTCTCTCTCTCTCCCCCCCCAACGAAGTCCCTTACCTTGTTGAAGGCCGCCGTTGGCGGGCGACGGCGGGGTCACGCGTGATGGTGGGCGTTGGCAGGTGCCGGCGGGGTGCGTCGAAAAAGCGCGATGAAGTTGCGCGTCGAAGGCCGGCGGACACACAGAGCTGCAAGACGGGGAAGGGGGGACGTCGGGGACACATCTTCAGCACGGGGGAGGGAACGGGGGCTGGTAGTTCCCGCCCTCACCGATTTGAAATCGGGGCAATCTGGGCCGTCGATCTTCGAGATCGACGATCTTCGAGATCGACGATCCAGATGGGGCCCAATTTCAAATCGTCGAAATCGGGCCTACAGGCCCTGTTGTTTTTTTTTCGCGGTCCACACTGCAATCAGACTTGCTTTCATTCACACGTTACATGCATGCAAACAGTAGCGCAGCGAACTGGCGATATGCGCCCACTCAGTACTCAGAGATATGGCAACCCAGATACGAGTTCACATCCAATGGCTATGGCGATATAGCGCCCATACAACTCTCTGTTCGCATACAGTGGATCACCCTGGATATCCCACACGCGTCTCTCTGAACACTTCACACACACTCACACACTCACTGACTACTAACTACAGCTATGGCGGCTATGGCCGCCACTACCCTATCGCTATGGCTAAGCTTCGTCTCTCTGCCCACTTCGTCTTCGGGCTCACTGCAGACCTCCTTGCACAAGTCGCTGTGGCAGTGCTTCCACATGGCTCACGCAGGAATCAATGAATGGCTGGGCGCTGCCTCTTGATTTATACTTCTGCAGTGCGTTGGCCTGGCCCCTTTCCCAGGCCCGAAGTGCACACAGTCCCATGCGGTACTTGCTGGACTGGACCAGGACTGCCTAGGACTGGGACTGCTGACTCTGCACGGGTAGACTCCACCACTTGCCTTACCACTTGCCCACTTGCCTCAGACTAAACGTGGGGAACCTTCGAAAGGCCACTGTTCGGACCTTCCGGAAGGCCGTAGACTTGGCCTTTCAACGCTGTAGTAGCTGCGACCTTGACCTTTCTGGACTGCAGCGGCTACGACCTTGACTCTTCGGGGAGACTACAGCCACGACTTCTAGACCTGACTAAGACTGCTACACGACAGGTCTACAGATCGAACCCCTGCGACCTCTGGACCCTACGACAGTCTATTACTGTTACAAATACACAGGTCGTGGGATCAACTCTAGGGGTCGACACAGGTACTGTACACAGGTAAGCTAGGGACTAGGGATCGAGCCCTGGGATCTGCATCAGCTACTGCAAACTGGTGAATACCGTTTCAACACGGTCTATGAAGGGGGCAAAAAGGGCCCCAGAGCCGGGGGTCCGGTGGCCAACCGGGCGCGACAACCGGCCAGGCGGCCCGACAACCCCCCCGGGCAACGGCCAGGCCGCCGGGCGGCCCGGGGACCAGCCTAGAATAAAAAACTGTTGAACAACATAACACATCAAGGTCTGTGGAGGTGGATCCTGTCTCTCCCACTTTGTGGCCTTCATACATTCATGAATTACATGTAATGTACTTGTGGGGGCAAAAGACTAGGATGGATCTATTCTATTGTTATCTGATGGTAATTCTCTCTGTCTACTCTTCGTTGCTAATTTCATTATGTATGATATTATTCCATATAGAATTGGGCACTACAGAAAGGCTCGAGTCGAATGAAGAGTGATATAGGTAATGAAATTAATAAGAATTTACCCTGGTACAACCAAAAAATTGCATCCCTGGCACAGAACCCTTGAAACCTCCACACCTCATCACTTGCCGTCTATCATTCACCAAGCCTACTGACTTTTTTAAGTCTTTTTTTTTTCTTGTTTCTTTTTTTACGAAGCCCACAGACTTTGTTGGAGTTCTTCTTTTTATTCTTGTTTTCTTGACTACCTTCTTCCCCCGAATACAACGTAGTCGTACGATCATTATAGCTGTATTTAGACTGAAAGATACCCCGAATACAGCTACAATGACCGTACGTTGTACTCGGGAGAAGAAGGTAATCTGTCATATCAGCTGTGTCAATATGGTTTCGTCCTTGCGTCTGCAGCATGCCTGTTCTTCACGACTTCGGAGAAGTTCGGACTCTTACACATTTTTCATCACATCCAGTGGATTGCATTGAATTTCCATTTGTTTTTTTTTTAAGCACCCGTCAGTATCCCAGCTATATACCGTTCCAACGTGCGGGTTAACCCACCGTAAAATCACAGGTCGGGCCTATCGGAGGGAAAAGGCTGGCATCGCCAGGCAAGTTCTGCACCATGCCGATTCGGCAAGAAACGTCGTGCAGCAAAAATCTGTGTCCGGAAAAAAAGGCTCAGATGGTCTGGTGGTTCAAGCTCACTGACATGCAGACATCTCCAGAACAAATCCTTCTGATGCAAATTCATGTGCTGGGTTTGCATGTATGAAGAACGCTCCTTGAGTGCATGCAAGTATGGGTCTCGCTCCACTACACTAAACTCTAGAAAAAAGACTACACTAAACTCTAGAAAAAAGTCTTAGAGTTCGTCGAATGTTGTCAGACTCCGGAAAACAGCTAAAAAGTCGGCCTAACTCCACTTACACTAGAGGGCGCTACTCTCGACGGACTCTCTAACAATCGAAAGTAGGCTAACAGTGTAGTGGAGCACGGCAACCACTCTCCAAATCTGCAACTTGAGAATGAATTTTCTGCTACAACATGGAAAGATACGCAGGGCTGCACTCTCCAGTGTCTACAGCAGCCCTATTCCACAACACGGCACGGCAAGGCTGGTTTGTCCACCTGGACTCGCGGTAGACTGACGAATTTCGGCGCAGTTTCTAGAAGAGAACCGAGGACCCTAGACTCAACGGGTGCTGCAGGCAGGGAGCTCTAGAGGACTCCAAAGCACACTTGCAAGCGCACGTTGTGCGCGAGTTTCCCGACGTCCGGCGCACGGGCCCGACCGTTCCTGCACGGCGCACGAGGTGTGCGGGGAACGGCCCGACCCCCCCCCCCCGAAAAAAAAAAAAGGCAGGGGTCGAAACGGCACATCGGAGGCCCCCCACCAAAATTGTTGCGAAGGCCAAATTTTTTTTTTTCGGACCGCGCTCAAGGCCGGACTGCGAGGTTTCGAATTTTCGAAACCTGTTTCCAGTTCTTTCTACTCTATGTGGGGTTGGCTGGGCCTCTTGGGTAGGTGTGCGGTCGGTCACGGCCATTCCTGCGAGGAGTGCCGTTGCCATTTCAAGGAGGAGCTGCCACCATTCTCAAGATCCGCCCCGTGCTGCCGTGCTGCCGTGCTGCCGTGCTGCCCTGTGAGGGAGGAGCTGCTGCCATCGCCCGGTGAGTATCACCGGCCTCGACCTCCCCTTCATCATCGTCACTGCCTCCTCCTCCTCCTCCTCCTCTCCTCCCGCTCGTCCTACTCCTCCTCCCCTTCCTCGTCCTCCATCTCTCCTCCTCGTCCTCCATCTCTCCTCCTCGTCCTCCGTTCTCGTCGTCCTCCTCCTCCTCCTCCTCCTTCTCCTCCTCCTCCTCCTCTCCCACAGGTGTCGAATCTGTTGAGTTTTTTTTTTTTTTTGACCTTTTCTCGATTTGTGCGTATCATCCTTGCGCAGAGGTCGTGCTAATCTTCTCTGTATCGTTCCCATCCCTCCGTTTCGTCTCCTCCTCCAGGTCGTCCTCCTCCCCTTCCTCGTCGCCCTCATCGTTCACGACCTCCTCCTCTCCCACCCAGGTAATGTACTAATGAATCTATCGAGCTTTTTTTTTTTTTCAACCTTTTCTCCATTTGTGCGTATCATCCTTGCGCAGAGGTCGTGCTAATCTTCTCTGTATTGTTCCCATCCCTCCGTTTCGTCTCCTCCTCCAGGTCATCCTCCTCCCCTTCCTCGTCGCCCTCGTCATTCACGACCTCCTCCTCTCCCACCCAGGTAATGTACTGATGAATCTATCGAGCTTTTTTTTTTTTTTTCAACCTTTTCTCGATTTGTGCGTGTCATCTTTGCGCAGAGGTCGTGCTAATCTTCTCTGTATCGTTCCCAAAGATTGAGAACGACACAGAGAAGATTAGCACGACCTCTGCGCAAGGATGACACGCACAAATTGAGAAAAGGTTGAAAAAAAAAAAAAGCTCACGAAACGGAGGGATGATTGGGATCGATACAGAGAAGATTAGCACGACCTCTGCGCAAGGATGACACGGGCTCGTCCTCCTCCACCTCCCCTTCATCTGCGTGCTTCTCCTCCTTCCGCTCGTCCTCCTCCTCCCCTTCCTCACCGTCCTCTCCCACCTAGGTATCGAAATTTCGAAAACAATCCAATCTATCGAGCTTTTTTTTTTTTTTTTTGGACCTTTTCTCGAATCGTGTGTTATCCTTGCGTCAGGGTCATGTTAATCATCTCTGTGTCGTTCCCATTGCGCTGCGGGCCAGGGAGACAGGGGCATGGGTGGATGGCAGGGAAGAAGGTGGAAGCAGGAGGCAGCATCGGCGAGCACGTCTTGGCGAGGGGGACGGTGGCGGGAAGCGTCCCGCGGATGATGACGGTGATGATGATGCCGATGGTGATGATGATCGTGATGGTGATGATGATCGTGATGGTGATGATGATCGTGATGGTGATGATGATGGTGATGGTGATGACGGGGAACAGGACGGAGGTTCGGAGGTTCTGAATCTTCTGATGATGAGGACGAGGTAACACTCTCGGACCCCTCAGACCCCCCTTAAAAGTTGCGCAGGTAACACCTCTCGGACCCCTCAGACCCCCAGCCCACTTAGCCTTATGGTTAGGTGTTAGCCTGCCAAGCCATTGGTTGTGTGTTCGAGTCTTGTATTCGACATCACGTGCTTTCACGCAGTAACCGCCGTAGAGATTATACTACGGGCAGTGTGGCTGTGTAGGAT